GTGAAGGGGGGGGGGGTTACGGTTCCAATGTCAGCGGCGCTGGCAGGTGCCTTGACCTGGTCATTGCCGGGAGGAATCCCTCTGCTATAAGGAACATAGGGCATGATGGCAGTGATTCGCTCTGCAGAGGCACGACAGAGACAGCTGACGGCCAGGAACAGCTCCATTAGGTTGTCATGGACTTCGCCGGGCTTAGCCGACTGTATCACATATACGTCGCGACTTCGCACACCGTCCAGCAATTTGAGGCTGATCTCCCCGTCGCTGAACTTAGTTACGCGCATGCGCGACAAACTTATGCCGAGGTGTGCACACACTTCTTGAGCTAGTTGTACGCTAGAACTGCCCGAAAAAATCATCAGAGAGTTCTCATCTCCCGGCTTCATATACGCCGTTTCGTCGACTGCGTCACTATGCCGCCCGCCGTTCCTTTCACCACCGTTTCTCTCGCCATCGTTTGTCTTTGCCACGTTCCTGACTCCTGATGATTTGTCTACAGTTACTAACTTGGACTGCAAAGCCTCCTCCAGGGCTGCAATGTCGTCTTCTGTAATACGAATTCCGAGGTCGCCAATAACCTCCGTTAACACTTCACCCAGAGACGTCTTGCCGAAGAGAGATAATCTAGGGCTCTTCAAACGCCTTCTTATCTAAAGAGCAGTCCGTTGACCATCCTGAATGCCGTCACTACCTGTTCTAACGTCGTTCCCTTCCGGCCACTCAAAAGGATCAACACAACAACTAGCAGAAGACCGAATGCCAGGGCACCCCCGAGCCTTCCTTCTCTTCGAGCAAATCGACCGTCCGTAGCAATCCCTCTTGCTACCGCACCTCTCGCGACTGGAGTCCCCGGTCTCCAACGAGCTCCTCCACCACTCTCACCAGACACGCCCGCCACCGAAGACGGACACATAGATCCTACGGCGGTCACGGCTGATGATGACATGGCCCTAATGCTGCACGCTGCCCCATTGCAGCCAGCAAAGGGCGGACGAAACCACCCACTCGGTCTCAGCATTCTGGAAAAATTTATCCCCGCCCATCCGACCTTGACAAAAGCTCCCGCCGCTTGTCTCGATCTTTTGACCGGGCGCGTGCCACCCCCCATTTCGTGATTACTACCTCCCTACTATTTGCCTGAATCTTCGCCTTTTGTCTTTTCTCGTTCATGACGACACTGGTTCTACATCAAAAGAGCGCCATAAGTTCAAAGCCATATCTAGCAATATGCGACGCATGAGCTCCTGCAGGCAGCGAAGGTCTCAACGGGCGCGGCCGGTGCGAGAGTCGGCACGCCGGAGCCTGATGCCTTGGCAAAGCGAAGTGAATTGAGCCGGGTCATCGGCCCGAGGAGCCATTTGAACCGGGGAACCTCAGAATACGAGAGGACAAGTGAGGGTTTTGGAGTGGAGAGGAGAGGAGAGGAGAGGAGGGGAGAAGAGTGGGTGGTGAGCGTTGTTTACAAGTGGGTCCCAAACAGTCTGCTGCACGGTGGGGGGCAGACCGGGGATGTTTGATTTGACTTGCAGATCTTCGGAGGTTCCTTCCAGGGGTGAGGCGATGGTGGAGGCTAGAGTGGAGATTTGGGAGGCAGCGAGTTGCAGCCACTTCTTTTCTTCAGGGAGGACGGACAGAGCGGCTTTTTGAGCGGCTGCAGCGGTCTCTGTGAGCAGCTTGGAGGCCAAGAAGGGTCCAAAGCCGCCATACAGTGACCGCCAGCCGTCGAAGCGGACGGAGCATTTGGCCATTTGGAGCAAACTGAGTCGTTTCCCGTCGAAGGGCACGTACACATCACAACGCATGTTTAACGTCTTCAAAGGGTATATTAGACCAGACGCAGCCACTGTACCCAGCAATGACGCCATGGCTTCTCGACTCTCCTCGCTCTTAGACCAACGACGAACACCCTGCCGGAAGGCGATCCACGGATGCCCCACGCGCCGCCGCGATGGCCGCTCCGTCTCTCCGAATTTCGCCAAAGACTTCTCCGACGGAATATCACTGCTTTCGAAACTTGCCAACACCCCGTCCGAGTCCACCGACTGACTCCCAGACCCGCCGGCCGGCTGTAACGCGGGCATCCGCTCGGAACAACGACTACCCAACTTTTTCTTCAAAGCATCTCTACAATACATACACGTGCACGCAAACAATGAACCTACTCTAGCAGCTCCGTTAAGTGGCGTCGCAAGAAGCCGCGGTAGAAGCCTCGGACACCCTGTCGATGATAGATCTGCAGCAACGATGTGTAATTTACCAATGCGTGTGGTCGAGTGACCTAATGTGGTGGGTGTGGAACTAGGAATTAGCTGCTGCCCGTGTACGTGTGGTCATCATGGTGGTTGTGCCATCACTCCACGAGTAATGTGACCCAGATAGGCTCAGATGCTGCGGGTTTTGTTACTTCTTCGGCTGCAGTGAAAAGGGTTAAGGGTTTCGGTTTTAGGTCCTGAGGTTCTATCGATCCAGGTGGCACTTCCTTGATTGCGCCCTTTTTGACTTGTACGTAGCTTTCGTGGGTAGGTCTTGGGATGTCATCGCTGTACCGACTGGTAAGGCTCACGATGTGTAGAGGCGCTGTGGCGAAGGCAAGGGGCCTGGGTAGGTAGGGGGCGAGTACCGGTAGTCCGTAGAGTCCCGGGGAGTCTTGGGGCATACCCCAAAACCAAGCAGCCACTAGCTCGTCCATTTTCGCGGGGGGAAAAACCGGGGTGAGTTCGCTGGCTGAGAAAGCTTTCCCGGAGTTAGCGAGGGGAGAGGCCGCTTGTGGGGGGGAGCAGGAGTGAGCCGTGGGCAGGAGTGAGGCGTGGACGCGTTAGGAGCGACTGGGAGTCCTCGGTCCGGTGCCGGAAAACCGCCTTTTTCAGCAAAGCGAAGAAGAACGTATTAACATAGCGCGTGGCAAAGAAGATGACTGAAGCCGCTGCTTCCTCTCTGGCAGGCAAGAGCGGGGAGTTGTGGCTTCGACTTCGCGAATTACATACGGCTAGACGGACGGCGTTCGGCGAACGCGTCGGTCTCCTGCTGCGTGCAAGCGAAGGAGTCAGGGAGACGTGCCAGACACTGCTAACCCAGGGGGACCTTTCCGAGCAAGAAGAGCAGTGGTTCACACTAATCTATCACGAAGCCCACCAAATCGCCTGCGAGCAGTTCAGCAAGCTTCACAACACACCTACAAGGATCGAGGCCGCCTGATTCCACCCCGGGCGTGCGACCAAGACCAAATCAGACCAAGCCGCCAGCCTAGGCCCAACCACGTTGGAGGCCCACCCCCGTTCAAGGCACACCCATTCGCAAACCCGATGTTGCTATCATACTGCCTTCTTGGTTGCACCGCATGCCTGGGAGTCGTTTCTCGGCGATGGACAATCCGCGCTCGTTAGAAAGGTTTTAAGAGACCGGAGTTGGTAACTCCAAGTCGAACGCAAATCTCGAACCGAATTAGTGTTTGTACCGTCTGTAATTGTTTACAGTCCTGTCTGTAATAGTCCTGTTTGTAATCTTTCATAGTCCTGTCTGTAATTGTTCACAGCCCTGTCTATGATCGTTCACAGCCCTCGTAGTTTATGTTGTCGGTGACCCACGGTATCCTGGTTTCAACTGACTAACTTGTTGTCTGAATCGACAGCCAGGGGTAGTCTCGCCCTAGGGCTAGAGAGTGAGATTAGGGGGGTTTTATAATACGAGTTCAAGAGGAGGAGCGGCTCTGTAGTTTCGTGTATTGTCGAAATGCTTCTTGGGTGAAGGAGTTGTACGCCTCGTTAATTGAGCGCTGACTCGCTCTATCGTCATGGTGTTTTATAGCCTCCCGAATTTCTAGGGATTCCTGGTCTACCAGATCGAGGTTATTCGGGTCAATGGGGTCTTTGCTCATCGCCACCTCAATTTTATCCAACAGTTTCTCGTAAGCAGTCTGCCAGAAGGACTATGCTTTTTAATGTCGCACTTACTTCTATCTCGTTGCCTTTGATGACATAAGGCTTGGCTAAATTCAACAACTGAACTTCCAAACTCGCTTTGGCAAAGTCAATTCCAGTATCAAATGCAGACGGCATTTTTTGGACATCTAATTCCAATAAAACCCCTCAAGGCAAGAGGGTTCTTCAAAACAAAGATTCCAACTATCCGACCTCCATCCCTCGCCTTGAACATCCGCAACGAGTCGATGCGACCGCAAACACTCGAACATGTAACTTTGTTTCCTAAGTCAGATCCTTACGGTCCGTATTTGTTATTCAGATCTGACTTAGGAAATAGTCAAATCGGGCTGCCTTACAGGAGTATTAGGGCATTGATGGTTGCATTGAGTGATTTCTACAGCTAATTGAAACTAAAAAGTAACACGCGAGATGTTGGCTAATCCGACCCCTCGGCACGTCAAAACAAATCTATTCTCCCTACGGGCGCGCTGTAATCCTTCAGCTGCGGCCAAACTGAAAGGCGGGTCGTCGTCCTCATCATCGTATATTGTTTCTTCCCCTAGGTCTTCTTTTACGTTGTCGCCAGAGTGTGAATTTTTGTCTGCGGCCTTCTCCCCGACGTCCAAGTCGGTCTTCTGGGATTCGGTCTTCTGGGATTCGGTCTTCTGTTCTGGAAGCTTGACTAAAGACTCTAGAGCCGCCTGGTGGGTGTCTATTTGATACCGCAACGACAGGAAGTCATTGATATGACGCAATAGCAAGACAGTATTTTGAGTCAGCCTTCCCGTAACCACCCGGGATACCTTATCATCATCTGCTACTGCCATAAAATAAATTGGTAGCCATTGGAAAGCAGAGTCAACCGCACCTCCTTCACATAACTCCGCTAATAATCGAAGAGCAACCTCCCGCCCCAGCTTTTCAGTTATGGTTTCGGAAGTCTTTCGCGCAGACTTCTGCTGAATAAGGTCCCCCAAGTCCCGACGCCCTAAGAAGGTCGGCTGCATTTTCTCGCGGGCTGTAAGCTCCTTCTGATCTGCCTCATTCTTATCTATCAGACCGTCCGCAACATACACTATCCCACTCCTTACAGTCTCTGCCACTAATGTCAAGCCGAATCCAGGACTTTTGCCACCTTTCTCACCCGACTGAGGCTCTGTGTATATGTGTACATCCGCTAGCAACTCGTTCAGAACATTTCGGGCACTCTCAATGGTCTTCGTGCCGAAAATCGCATTCATATGGCATGTGAAAACCGTTCCGCGCACGCGTGCGATGCGCCCTCCGTAAATTAATTTGAAAGGTTCCACGGCTTTTAGCACTCCACAAGTGAACTGTACACAGCCGCCACCCTCGGGCAGCAATCCTCTCCGTATTACATTCACTCCCATTTCCGGGAGACCAATTTTCTGCGTGTAAGCGTTCAGCCCGGTCCTGAAAGCGTCCATGCTAAGGTCATGGGGGTGGTCCGTAATGCCCTCCAAGTTTATATTAGCAGGATGCTTCATGAACGGCGCAATCATGACGAGGAATTCGAGATAGTACACCAATCCTCTATCCGGGGGACATTCGACGGTGAACGCGTAGTCTCGTCCAACAAGGAGTCCCGGTTCTACCAGCAGGTCTGTAGATCCGTTTCTGACGTCTACGGCAACGTTTTCGCTGACTCGTTCCAAAATGTGGAGAATACATGCTTCCGAAGGGCGTAGGCCCGGATTTTCAGTTTTTACGCGGATATCCTTCATTGAGACGGGTCGGTTGGTGATGGCCGAGAGGGCGATGCGCTGTCGGAACCCGGCGGTGTCATGATATGTAATCTCCTTGCCAAGGGCAGCCATAAATAAAAATCGACCCTGCGAATCCAAATGGACCCATTTTGGCACGATGATGTAGGGGTTCAAGAGCATCACTTTAAGCAGGCGCGCGTCATACCGGCGACTCCCAAGGCCCTTTTTACGTGGTTAGAAAGCCGGATATATAGAGGCCTCCGCCGGAACTGTTCCCAGTTGGCCAATGCAGCGGGTTCGAATTCCGCAGGTACCGTGGTAGAATCCCGCTCTAGCTCTCAAGGGGCGACCGGAGGCCCGGAAGCGGACAAGCGGCGGAGTTATTCGTGGATTTCCTGTTTCTGCATTGACAGTTTCGATCCTGAGCAGGTGGTCACACAGTCTATGCAGATGCGGAATACATTACGACAGGGGATTTCCTTTTATGTCGATCAAGAGACCATGGATGTCAAATTGGGTCTGCGTGGTCTGCCTTATCCCTCGCCCATATACCCCACGTTGCCTAGTAATACGTCGGCCCGTGACAGTGACGGTGATGAGCATTTGAAGGGCGTGCTGGATTACTTTAGACGGCACGCTCAACCGGGAACGACCCTGCAATTGCATGCCGTCAAAGTGCCCTACGGCACCACGATCCACATCGCATACAAACCTGACTATCGCGAATGGACCATTGGCACCAACGACTGGGTTCGCAGTTTCCATATCCCCACGAGCGAACCTAGCGAAGACTTGTTGGAGTATTGTAGAGGTCGGAAGAAACCGACGCATCGAAGTGACGAACGTGTGATAGCTGCTGCAGTCACCTGGTCCGCCATTTTACGCCAACGGCCGTCCGATGAACAGAAGCTACTAAGACAGATATTAGCCGTGGGCACACTTACCGGAACCCTAACTAATGTTGCTTCGGGTCAAATCGACTACGACGCAGTGCTGCCGTATGACTGTCAGCATCCCGAGGTGTTCAAAAACGGTGCCGTCTTCCATGGCTTCAGTCTTAACACTGGCAGTTCCGTCCTCCTAACAAACGAAGTGCCTCTTACAACGGTCTTTATAAAACTGGGTCTGGATGTGACCGAGACAGTCCAAGATAACCGCTGTGTCTACGATGCCACTAACTGCCGTCGAGCGTACGACGATATCCGTCGAATAGCCAACGAATACATCTGCCAGGAAATTGAAAGTGGAACACAAATCCTTCACCCGCAGGAAGGGCTGCAAACTAATGCGTTGGGTCGCAACGATCCGCTCCATCGTAACGATCCACTCCATCGTAACGATCCGCTCCATCGTAACGATCCGCTCCACCTAAAGCTGTACAGCTGGAGGATTTGCAACACGCAACCGGATCAAGTAAGTACGGTGAAAAAGATCGTGGCCAGAAAGGCAGTGGCTGACGTAGAAGCAAACCCCACCTGGTTCGTGGGCTATATTCCGTCTCTGACTTGCATGCTGCAGGGCACTCTTGATCAACTACTCTGTGCGGTTTTCGACGGAATTGAATCTGAAAGACCAAAAGGATCAAAAGCTGTCAAGGAACTGGTAGACGTCCGTATAACCAGACTCACACCATACGGAAGAGAAGCACTGATTGCCATCCTTTCCACCGCTAACTACTACGGTAAGGAGTCAAAGATAACCTTTTGGAATCAATGTTTCGAGGGCTTGATCAAACGACTCAACCAGTGTCTAGTGCACTTGTTCGAATTCGACTTTGGTGCATACAAAAAGGCGAAACTGGCTGCCAAGAGCTCTCCACTGGAAGCGACTTGGATAATTTTATCCAACGGCAAAAAGGCCAAACGACCTCTTAGTGTCGACTCGTCCCGGAGCTCTCCCGTCCATAAAAAAATCGCCACTGCTAAACAAGGTGTGAAGGCTTCCAAAGCGCAACGGCTTCTAAACGGCACCACCCAGCTTTCAACTACCAGGCCGAACTCGGATACCACCCAGCCGTCCATGGCCGTGGACGAAACGCTCCCGACCGGGCCATCCTCGACTGGGCCGGCCTCGGCCGAGCCGACCTCGGTGATGGCGGGGGCGCGGCCGTTTGATTCTAAGGTCGTGGATGCACGAGCAGCGAGTCCCAAGGCGGAAGCTCTCCGGGCACCGGAAGACCCGGTCGAGGGTTCGAACTCGCTGTCTCCTCTCAAACGTCAAGAGCGAATGGAAGGCGAGTGGGGCGACTACCAGGAGTCTCTGATCAACCAGATGGTCCGCATCCGCAAGTCGGACCCCTCGCGAAAAAACCCTCAGGCCGAACGCGACGCGAGCGATGACGATCAGGACCCGGCCGGCGGCCGAGCTGGCGCTGGAACACAAGGCGGACTTCGGACACAAGGCGTGGCTGCGACGAGCGGCTCCGCCAAAGGCAGTAGCTCCGCCAAAGGCAGCGCCGCCGCTCCCGGTGGCCCCAATCAACAGCAGGCCGCCGGGACCGCCGCAACTGCCGTCGGAATGCTTCTTGACTCCGGCAGCAAGACTGCCACGCGCGACTACCCTGAATTGCTCGATCTCGCCCTCGGACGAGACGTAGGCGGACACGAGACGGCTGGTAGGGAGACGGCTGGTCCAGAGGCAATTGGTCCAGAGGCAATTGGTCCGGAGGCAATTGGTCCGGAGGCAACTGGTCGGGAGACGGTGATTACGCTCCGCGAGCCCGTCGCGATGCCTGGAGCCCGTGCAGTCACACAGCTGGTTTTGGAAGACGCAGTGACCCTTGAGAACCCCCACGGACTGGACAAAGAAGATCCAGACCGCTTGCCGGACACAAAGGGCACCGCTCGGCGGGAAACAGCCGAAACGCAGGTGACTGAGGCGGCTGCAGAAGACGCGAAAGACCGTAAGCAGACTGGTGACTACGTCGAGTTAGCTGAACATCACAGTACAATGGCTGTCGAACTACCAAGCGAGCCGGAAGTTGCTGACTCAATCATGGTTGCGGAAGGAAAGGTTGCGGACGCGCAGGAAATTAGCGAGCAGGATGTTGCTAAGCACAAGATTATTGATGAGAAGGTCACCGAGCACAAAGTTACTGAACAGAATGTTGATGAGCAGAATGCTGCTAAAGAGACGGTTGCTGCCGAACAGACGGTTGGTGCTGAAGAGGAGGTCGCTGAACAGACTGCTGCTGAGGAGGTCGCTGAACAGACTGCTGCTGAGGTGGATACCCCGGATGTCGATATCACCGCGCAGATGAATGAAACAGCGGAGACAATGGTTGAGGAGCCTGAGCTGGATATTACCGACCAACTTCGTGAGACTATGGAGCTGGACCAAGATGAGAGGACGTTTGCTAAGACCCATTTAGCCGCGGCGACCGTCGACGCGGTAATGACTGAGTGCACAGTGGTCGAGGCGGTGGCAGAATCCGCAGTTATGGCCGTCGAGGAAAGCAGAGTGTCGGATGACGAACAAGTTGGTTTGACCCAGCAGGAGTCCGCAATTGAGACCGGTGCCGTGGCCGCGGGCGAAAAGATGCGGAGAGAGAGGGACGAGGAGACACCGGAGGAGAACGCCAGTGACCGAAGCGGTGAGGAGTCCCCGGAGACTTCGTCAGACGAGGAGCAGCTAGAACAGGAGCCTACTCCAGGCGCTTCACCCATTGAGCGTCCTGCCACCTCACCGCCCCCTCAACTGCAGACACCAACGGAACACACCCTAGTTGAACAGACGCTTTCCTCCGAGGAATTCACTCGATCAGAGAAATCAGCCCGTGACCAACCAGACGAAACCATCGCTGAGACTCTAGCTGAGGCCATCAGTGAGACCGTATCTGAGTCTCCCTTGACTACAGGTGACACTCCCACGACGAACGCAGGAATGGAAACAAAACAGAAAGAGCGTGAAAGTAAAAGGCCAGAAGACGAACTGGAGGATGACCAACCGGAAGATGACCAGTCGGAAGACGGGTCAGAAGTTGATCAATCCGTCGAGGAGGCTCCGACTGTCGACGTCGAACTACAGAAGGCGGACGAGCTAACTGCCGAACCGGAGCATGGAGCGACGGCATCCGGAGTTTCTCTGAGACCGGAGTTTACGCCAGAAGAGTCCACGCCAGAAAAGTCTGCGCCAGAAGAGTCTGCGCCAGAAGAGTCTGCGCCAGAAGAGTCTGCGCCAGAAGAGTCTACGCCAGAAGGGTCTACGCCAGAAGAGTCTACGCCAGAAGAGTCTACGCCAGAAAAGTCTGCGCCAGAAGAGTCTGCGCCAGAAAAGTCTGCGCCGGAAGAGTCTACGCCAGAAGAGTCTACGCCAGAAGAGGAGGCGACGCGATCGGAGTCTGGGAGCCCAGAGCGTCCACCGACCGGGTCAGTCGCTGCCGCCGACGCCAAGGGACTGGAGTTCGAGGATGCGGCGGTCGAAAACGAGGTGGTACAGGGCCTAGCGACGGCTGTTCCGAGCCCGGACGCGGTTCGGAACGGGGAGACGTTGGTTCCCGAAGAGGCGGGTGCCGAAGAGGCGGGTCCCGAAGAGGCGGGTCCCGAAGAATCCGGTCTTGGGACTTCGGCCCCTGACCTGTCCGACACACCCGTGGAGGATATGCCGTCCCGTGCCGCAGAAAACGGATCGGAATCGGAGACCGAGGAACCCAGGCCCTGTGAGTCAGAGACATGTCAGACGGAGCCCTGTGAGCGTGAAGGAGAAACTTCGCACAGCGAGTGCCTTCTCGCCGTGCTGGTTATAGAGGGGGAATCGTCCGTCCCCCAACCGGAGACGGAATGTATCTCGGTCAACCCGGCTAGTCCAGCCTCCGAGTCGCAGCCGGGTGGTGAGCCTTCGTCGGCCGACGAAGGCTCCCCGCTGTTACAGCTGGGCGGCGGCGACCCCGACAGTCCGGACTCCTGCGAGTCTCCGAGAGAGGACCCTGAGGACGCTGTCCCGGACTCCACGCGAGACGAGTTGAAGGCGGCGGTCCGAGCGGGTAGTCCAGAAGAGAGGGAAGACAGAGGTGACGCAGAAGAATCCACCACGGACGCGGAAACCTCCCGGCTCCCGACTGCTGGTCCTGGGGAGGACCTCGATGCTTCGCGACAGGCTAAAGACGAAACACACCAGGAAATGGCGAACCAGAAAACGGTGGATCAGGATACGGTGGACCGGCACGCTACTGCTGCAACTGCGGCTCCCGAGACTACCGCAACGTCTGGGACTGCCTCAGAGGCCCAAAGCCCTGAAGCTAAAGGTCGTGAAGCTGAAAGATCTGAGGCCGGAGGTCCTGAAGCTGAAAGTCCCGAAGCTGAAAGTCTTGAGGCCGGAGGTCCTGAGGTTATTTTGAGAACCGCAAGTCCCGCAACCGCAAGTCCCGCAACCGCTTCAGCCGCCAGTCCCGAGGCCGCGCTTGTGGGAGAGATCTCTTCAGTGGCTGCGAGTCTGGACAGGCCAAGTAGTTCCGAGTCTGGGGCGAAGGTGCGTGAGGATTCAACGGGTCCGGACGGATCGGGGTTAACTCCCGAGAGTAGCGTGGCGGACAGTCTGACGAGTAGCCCTGTGACTAGCCGCAGCACTAGCCGTGGCAGTAGCCGAAGCTCAAGTCGTACGACTAGTCGTACAACTGGCCGGAGTACCAGTGGTGCAACTAGTCCCGTGAGTGAAGCCCTAGCTGAGCCGATGAGTACGACAAGTGGCGGTACGACGAGTGGTGGTACGACGAGTGGTGGTACGACGAGTGGTGGTACGACGAGTGGTGGTACGACGAGTGGGGGTCCGATGAGTGGTGGTTCGACAAGTGCGGAATACACGACGCCGATGGGTGAAGATTCGCGGAGTCGGATTGGCACGCCGGCGAGCGGAGCAGTGGAGGCAGGGCACCGGCGCGCGTCTTCTCCGCGGAAACGGTTGGTTACGCACTGGCAGTCATCTTCTGATTCAGACTCGGATTCGGGACGGCCGCGAGGAAAGCGGTTGTTAAAGCGTTCGCGACGGAGTTTCGAGGATGCGAGTCCTCCGTCAACATGTGACACATCGACAGCGCCACGTTTGTCGTTACCGTTGCGTGTGGTGCCGGAGGAGGTGACGAGTGAGGATGAGTTGATGGTGCCGGATGCAATTTTGCAGAGTGTAGACAATGACCGCCTGATAAAAGAATTACAAGGCCGCGGTTACGTTGTACGTCTTCGTCGACGAAAGGCGGTGGTCGTGGGGGCCCTTAGCCTTGATTTGAGCACACCCAAGAAAAGACGACGAAGGGAAGACGAACTCGCTGACGATGTAGCCACTCTGTCTACTCTTCTACCAGACTCTACCTACGAACAACCGGATCTTATTAACAAGACTGACGTCCTCAAAACCATGCAGGCACGAGCCGCAAGACTTACGCGACCTCTGCCACAACTAATTCTTGATCCCGATCGTGATGACACACCCGTCTATCAAGTCTTCCTCACCCCTGAACAACAGAACTCACCCACCCGCTCCAGACGCTCAACTGGCACCTGCTCCATTCTCGTCGTGCCCAAACATCAACTTACCAGCCGCCGGTCGTACTAACCCAAGTCCCAAGCTTCAGCCGCGACCAATTGTAGGAAGACGCAAATAATTTTTTCAGTCGTGACAAACACAACACATAGGGAGGAAACTGACTCAAACCGACCCTCAGTCAGATACCGAGAAAAAATATCGTATGGTTGCGGGCGACGGCAGTCTCGAAGCAAGCCTAGTAGTAGGAGTCGTATACTCGCTTGGGTTTCCAGCCTTTGTTGAACGCCGGGACCTGTGGGGGGTGGAGCGAGGCGTCTCGAAAGGCGTAGTTTCTGTCGCTGCCTTCAAGGCCATGGTAGGGTTGCGCCTTGAAAGCTAGAACTGGTTCATTCACTTGAAACGGTTGTTTCTGGGTAGCGATCTGTTCGGTGTTGTACCAATCTGGTATCACAAAATCGCCCTTAAATATAAGTCGACCGGGATAGGTTTTGTCCGTCCTCCATCCCGGAGTGGGCATGGTGGGGGCGTACAGAGAAGCCGGATCCGGTAACCATATATTCTGTCCCGATGAATACGTGGCTCTAAGTTTCGACGTGGAAGTCGATCCCACACCACCACCAGCCGCCACGGCAACTGCCGCAGCCGTCGTAGCCTCCTCATTACGCAACGACATCACCATCGAATTCTGCACCCTCTTCTCACCGGCTACCCTCTCCTTATCACCGGCTACCTTCTCCTTCTCACCGGCTGCCTTCTCCTTATCACCCGCTGCAGACTGCACTCCGTATTGCTCTGCAGATTGCGCGGCATACTGCTCTGTAAATCGTTCTGCTGATTGTTCTGTGGATTGCTCAGCTGCTTGCTCTGCAGCTTGGTCTGTGGATTGCTCTGCATCTTGCTGTCCCTTCAGACCTAACCGAGATCGGGTCACAGATCGGGTCTCAGATATAGTCTCTTTGTTCAAATAACTTCCCTTCTCTTGGCTGTTCCCTTTTTGTAAATAATTTCCCTTTACCTGCTGGTCATTTCTCAGTGGCTGCACCACCCTAGACTCGACAAATTTAGGTCTGACCTTCTCGACCATATGTCCAGCCCCATTCGAAGGCCATTTCGAACCCGCCATCGAAGACTCAGCGACCAAGGCCCGTAACCGCCCCCAGTTACCCGAGGACGGCATCGGAATCCACTCGGTTTGCGTCGTCGTGGACGCGGGAATGGTGCTGTCTCTGAAGAGCTGGTTCCCGTCAGCGCGGACGGCAAGCGCCTCCGGAAAGTTAGCCTTTGCGAACGCTCTGCAAGCAACGACTGTAAACCTGTGTCCCGTGACTGTAAGTCACTCGACTGTGTGACTCCGTGGGTCTTTCCAGTATGTGACTGTGTCGTGCGACAGTGTATGTCGTGCGACAGTGTATGTCGTGCGACAGTGTATGTCGTGAGACTGTGTCTGTCTGTGCCTGTGTCGCACGTGGACGCTGAGGCTTACACTTCTCGCAGGAGCGCATTACGTCTCCAGGCGTCCCGCATCGACTTGAGTACCTGCATATCCCTATTGTCACTCCAGTAGTCCTGCCAGCGACCACTAATCCCTCGGTTGAGTCCGTTTATGGAACCGGGCCTCATAGGCCTCAAGTCCGGTAAGTCGGCTGCGTAAGCGAAAGTTATCCCGGTACCTGGCGTAAAGGGTTCTGTTGTTGCCGGCGGCTCGCCGGTTGTGTCGACTTGCTCAGTAGTAGTGTCCAACTCCTCCTCCGTGCTCTCGTCTCCCGCGGCATTCTCGTCCCGCAAACCTTCCACGGACTTGCCTTCCACACGCTTGCCTTCCACACGCTTGCCTTCCACAGACTCGCCGAAAAACGGGAACAAACCCCGCAAAGGACCTCGTGGCGCTTCCGCCAACCGCCGTCTCCCAGCCCCTTCTCCCCTGGCGGAATGAAACCGGATGCCCGCCTCGAAAATCGACGGTTCGCCACCTGACCGTTCGCCACTCGACCGCATGCCATTCGGAGTCTTGTCGTCCGGTCGCTCGTCGGCTGTTTCGTCATTCGACTGTTCCGACTCAGGGAGACGACGGTGCTGTGTCATGTTCGGCTCGGATGTCCCGTCGGCCGTCCCCACGACGGCCGTCCCCACGACGGCGGCCGTCCCCACGTCGGCCGTCCCCACGACGGCGGCCGTCGCATTGTGGACATTTCCTTCGTAGTCTATATTCTTCTCGAGTCGATCCCTCTGTAACGCATTCGCTTTTTTCCAAAAGGACGGAGCTCTGATCTCAAAGGCGGCTGGTCGGTACATGCCGGTCAGTTTGGCACTGGCCTCGCTAGGACCGGCCTCGCTAGGACCGGCCTCGGTTGACTCCTCGGACGACTCGGCAGAGAAGCCAAACGACAGGCGAGACAACAGGCCCGACAAGAGGCCAGTCCGCTGGTCAGCTGCCTTCTGTGACGACTCGTCCGACGACTGGTGAGACCCTCGCGCCTGTCGTCCCCAGTGCACGAAGCTCGGCTTACCCAGAGTGGGGAATTCCGGCACGCGTTCCTCAAGAGGAATGGCGGCCACGCCGTCCGCCGCCACCACGCCTAGTCGTAGTCCATGTGTAAAAGGTGTTTGCAACTCTTCGGCGAGCACTGCGGTTAGCAGTACTAAGTGTTTCAGCCACATCCAATTAAAAATTCCGACCGGATTTGTTTGATCAGAATGTAGTGGCCGATTCGTGGTATTGTCGATTCGTGGTCCTCGGTGTGCCCAAGCAGGCATGTGTGGCAAGCGTGTGTGACAACGCGTGTGTGGTGGGATATGTTAGAGGAGTGTGTCTGGTTGTGTGGCAGAATGTGGATCACGTTCTGTAGGTCGTGCGTTCTGTGAAAAGGAGCTTCATTTGAGCTGGGGCATCCGCGGTGGCGGCAGGAAGGTGGGTCTGTTCATAGCGCCTGGGAGCCTGAAGTTGACTCCGCCTGCTTCTTGTTTGATGATGGCTTCTTCCTTGAGGCGTTTTTCTTCCTGGCGGTCTTGGTAGGCGGCGTAGGCGATGAGGAGGCCCGCGAGGACGAGTAGGGAGCCTCCGGCAACGGTGAGGTAGAAGGAGTAGCCCATGTTCAGAGCGGGATAGACGGACTGTAAATTGAGGGCGCTGTGGGCCATGCGGCCGATGACGATGAAGCCGACGGCGCCGGCAATGGTCAGTATGCCGCCGCCCAGCCATGAGAGTTGTAGGAACTGAGGGCTTTTGCCGAAGATGTAGAGCCAGGACAGGCTGGTGATGCTGGCGGCCAGGATGACTAGGAGCAACGCCAGGAGGGCGAACCCGATACTGGAGAGCGACTTATAGTAGGAGCAGCGCATCTTATAGTGCGCCAAACAATCCGTGTTGCAAGAATTGTCCCAGAGCGATATCAGACCATTGGTAGCCGCGGCTTTGGCCAACAGTGTGTATCCACCACACACAGTGGACACACGCTGGTACCATGGCTCAATCACCACGCCTTCGTTGAAGTACACCATGAACAAACCCATGTACGTCGTCAAGTAATTCTTCACCTGCGCCGTATCTGTAACCATCGCGAAGTTCTGGATAAACCGAACCGTGTAAGGTGCTACCGTCAACCAAGATGTTGTCGAAGCGCCAATGACCGTAAGCAAGCATCCCAAACATGCCACACCCGATGCCACCTTCCATACCCATCCGATCGTCTTATGCAAGGCCGTTAGACGAGGATCGACCTTCGATTTTTTCTTCGCCATGCCATGTCACGCTCCCCACACATTTTATACCGACCTCCATTCGCCCCAACCACGCCCCACAGAACAGTCACAGAACCCGGACGAGTCCTCCCTCACACGGGTTAGTTTTCGCTCTGACCACCCACCCGGATCCACCTACCGGACAAGACTGTCTGGTTAAAGTGCCAGACCGAGTCAAGCGAGCACCAAAAAGATCAAGAATTAAGGGGCTGCTGAACCAACGATTGTCCCAAAGAGACGCAACTATCTACTCAGAAGCAATACAACTAACCACATCATTTGACCACATCCTTCGACCAGATCCTTCGACCAGATCAGATTCTTCGGAGAGAGTCTCCCTGCCTGCGGGGCTTGGGGACTTTGTTTGTGGGGCCTTCGGGGCTTAGACTGACTGTCGCGCCTCCGGGACCCAGCCTGTGGGGGCTCGAGGGAGACAACCAGTGGTCAAGCCCACAGCTCTATAAAAGCCACTACCTCAGAGGGAACTACCTCAAAGGGAACTGTGTGTCGTGGAGAACTGTGTGTCGTGGAGAAGAACTATCTGTCGTGGATAACTGTGTGTCGACGGCTTCAGCGAGGGTGATGTGGTTATCCATATTTGGTGAGGTCAGAGTAGCCTCTTTCAACTCTTTTGGCGGCAGCCGGGAATTTGTGTCCGATTGTGTCAGCGATTTGACAGAGCTCGTTCTGGCGTTCCGCGTTTAGCAGATCTTTCCGAGCTTGTTCCGCCCGCCGGTAGTTGTGTAAGTCTCTGTAATACTGGAACCGAGTCCGCTCCTCACTTGTGGCGGTACGGCATTTGGACTGGAAGTTGTGGTACTCCACTTCGGCCTCCATCTCTCGGCGCTTCGCAGTCCGGGGCGGGTAGGTTGTCTCAAAATCGGGTCTCGCAAAATAAGGCACTTTATATTCCGATGTATAAAACTGACTTGGTGTAGCAGCGGTCTTGGTAACACTCACATCAACCGAGCTCCGACCAAAGGGCATGTTGTTAAGCCAGGAAAACAACAGAATACAAAGAATAGGTAGCAGTTGTAATAATCCTTGTAACCGTCGCTGATTTCTACCAAAGACAAACATAGTCAATCAAAGCCTTGTTTATAGGCAGGACACGCCTATAGGGAGGACACGACAAGGGGGGGGGATTCAAAAAGCATAAGAACACAGGCCCGATTATGAAGACGTAATTCCAGTGTTAAAGACGAGAGGGACAAAGGGGTAAATGATATCATACTCTGGTTGTTCTGGTTGTCTGGGCATCCGCCGGTAGTAGTACTGATGTTGTGCTCTAGGTGTCTGGCCAAAGAAGAACGCTTGGAATAGATCTTCCGGAGTCATGAACTCGGCATTATGATGTCTGTGAGCGGCCGCAGGTGGTTGGGATGTAACGTCATCGTTTCCAGTCCTGTCATAGTGCGCTCGGGTTTGTTCATTGCTGAGGACTTGGAATGATTTGGAGATTTTTTTGAATGCTTCCTCGGCCTTGGGGGCTCCGTTTTTGTCGGGATGCAGTTGCATGGCGAGTTTACGATATGCTTTCTTGATCTGGTCTTCGTTAGCGTCTCTGGACACACCCAGCACCTGATAGAGATCTTTTGCGGCAATGACTTTGTTACAAACGTCCTGCTGCGCATGCGTGTATGTTTTGGCCTGTGCATCAGCGGCACTCATCGTCCGACGCATCCTACCGGCTGCTACTGGGGTCGAAGACCCGGCTGATCCCTGCTGCTTCACTGGCGGGACCCCAGCCTTCAGTTTCACGATAATAGACTGCGCTTCTGGTGTGTTATGCAGTCGTAATGACTTCTCAGCAAATCGTAAAGCCTACATGAAATTCTGCAATGCCCCTGCACCTCTACCGGCAGTGCGATCTCACTTTACTAATGTCATTTGACAACCAAGCTTTCTCAGCGATCCTTAAACATTTTTCGGCCTCTTCCTGGGCTTCACTCTGCATTTATATTTCCTGCGTACGGGCGCGGGGTTTTTCGAGAAAACGACATGCCTGATGAGTTTGATATGTTTGCCGCCTCTTCGGATGAGGAGGAAGAAATTGCACCCAGGAAAAGACCTCTCGATGGCGTCGAGGAACCATTGGCCAAAAATCTAAGAGCAGCAGATGGTTATCAAGACAATGAAGGTTATTATGTTGTAAGTGAACACTGTATGAGTAGACATTGTAGGAGCAAACATTGTGGGAGCAAACACTGTATAGAGTAGACATTGTAGGGGCAAACATTGTAGGAGCAGACATTGCACACACGTTTCTTATTTCAGGCATCTGTTGGTGAGATAATTGGCGAACGTTATAAGGTACTGTCGGGCTTGTGTGGCAAGGGAGTTTTCTCCTCTGTGTTACGAGGCCAGAATATATCCACGGGGGAAATGGTTGCTATAAAGTGCATAAGAAAATCAGACTTTACTCGTGATGCAGGAATGAAGGAGATTGAGAAGCTAAAGCAGCTGCATTCTCGCGATCCTTTAGGCAATCGGCCCATAGTAAGATACTTTGGGCATTTCGACAATGAAGGACATCTTTGTATTGTATGCGAATGTCTAAAGGAGGATTTGCGTTCACATATCAAAGGGTAAGCATCATCTTGTTCATACTCAATGTATAGTGTATGTACACACCAGTTGTATATGTACACACACGAGTTGTATATGTGCACAACTCGTGTGTGCGTGTGTGTGCACACACACATTTAATAAAAGACGGGGGGTATACTGGGGGGGAGACATTGGGTTTAACTATAGGTGTGGACGAGGCGGTGGTCTGGATCTAGATGTAGTTCTTGGTTATAGCCGTCAATTGGTTGAAGGGCTCCTATTCCTAAAAGAGTGTGGCATTGTACATGGTGATATAAAGCCAGATAATATATTGGTTGGAGGACTATCGAGCGATGCTAATGATGATGTATCGGTGGATCATGGAACTATCAAGCTATGTGATCTTGGATCAGCTAAATTTGAAAGTGAATTGGACGCAAGCGATGAGATGGTCCCAAGGTATTATCGAGCACCTGAAATATACCTTGGTTGTAAGTATTCGTATCCAATTGATATGTGGGCAACGATGTGTACTATATATGAGCTTTGTACTGGCAGGTTTCTATTCAATGGTCCAAGCCCGTCCCATATGCTCTTAGACCTAATGAAGCTTAAAGGCAAAATTCCCAACAAAATGCTCAAGAATGGACTTCACACAAAACTGTATTTCAACGAAAATCTACAGTCACTGAAACTGCTAAAAGACACTGGCTGCCCAGTCAAACCATCCGTCAACATATATGACCTTCTAAATACTCATAATAAATCATTGCAAGGTAATTTTAGCACTCCCTAGCACACACACACACTCTTCCACCCAAAAGAGTAAATCTCCGGATGACCATATCGACCATATCGACCATATCGACCATATCGATCATATCGATCATATCGATCATATCGATCATATCGATCATATCGATCATATCGACCATATCGTTCATATCGATCATATCGATGCTGTAAATACCAGCTTGACTGGTCGTAGCACCAACTCAAGATCGCACCCACCGAGGATCACACCGATTATACCGACTCAGAGTACACGAAATTTGGTCACGCCCCTCGCACCGGTATCCTATTACCTGCTTGACGGTTGAGCGGGTAAAATGACTGCCCCATAATTGGCGACGCGACGGGTCAGTTCAGTGATGAAGCCCGAATGACACCACTTCATAAATAAGTCTCCGGAAGCCAGTCTTCGGCCGAGCAGTCTCCGATGCGGTGGAGAAGTCTACGGTGCGGTGGAGAAGTCTACGGTGCGGTGGAGAAGTCTACGGTGCGGTGGAGGAGTCTCCGATACGGTGGAAGAGTCTCCGATACGGTGGAAGAGTCTCCGGTGCGGTGGAAGAGTCTCCGGTGCGGTGGAGGAGTCCCCGGTGCGGTGGAGGAGTCCCCGGTGCGGTGGAGGAGTCCCCGACCGAAGGCAAGAAGAGGGGGCGTACAGGCAAGACGTTGGTGGAGATGACATGATGAGTTAGCACTGCTGTACACACACCATGTCTTGCTTCCGTTGGTTGACGTGTTGTTCTTTTAGAGGCCGCCCCGAATTCTAGGTTGAAGACACGTGCAAGGTTGTTGTCAGATTTTTTGAACCGGGGCCTGACGCTGGATCCTAGCAAGCGTTTGACGCCAGAAGAGGCACTGGAGCATCCATGGATCAGGGGCCTGTGACCTCGGCATGGCTTGGAAGCACGCGTCGTCGGAGGTGCAGGTGCTTACGTGCGATGAATCTTCGAGCCCTGATTGTGATCGGCTTCTGTGCCGCAGAGATACCTGCTGAAGGTCGGCCGCTCCTCCGACACGCCGCGCAGGCCACGACGGCGGCGCCCCCGAGGGTCACCACAAAGAAGGTAGCAGGGACCACCAAGGGCACTCTTACCCCGCAGCCTACCACCAAGGCGGCTACCACCAAGGCGGTTACGACCAAGGCGGTTACGCTGGCTCCCGAGGATACGACTACCGAAATTCTACAGGACAAGGAAATCAAACCCGCAACCAAGCCAGCGGGTGGGGATGAGCCTACACCGACCCCGAAAGAGGCCTCGGAAGCCTCGCAGTCCCTTGCGACAGAGCTAGAGGAGATCGGGCAAGCCGCCAGTGAGGCTGCTGCCACTGAGATGCCCAACCTCGACGAGGAAGACACTACCCAGGGCCTGTCTGATGATCTCAAGTCTTCCTTTACTGACCTCGGCGTCACGCAGTCCGAGGAAGACGAGGCTACCGCCGAAGCTGCAGCTGAGGGCGAGGAGAGCACAGAAGCTGAGGAGGAAGATAAGGAGGAAGATAAGGAGGAAGATAAGGAGGAAGAAGAGACCGAAGCCGAGGAGGCTGAAGGTGAGGAAGAGTCCACTGAAGCCGAAGAGGCTGAAGAAGAGACCAAGCCTGAAGACGAAGGTGAGGAAGAGACCACCAAGGCAGAAAAGGCTGAAGGTGAGACCAAACCTGAGTCAGATGAAGGTGAGGAAGAGACCACCAAGGCCGAAGAGGCTGAAGGTGAGACGAAACCTGAGGAGGAAGGTGAGACGAAACCTGAGGAGGAAGGTGAGGAAGAGACCACTAAGGCCGAAGAGGCTGAGGATGAAACCAAGCCTGAAGAGGAGGCTGAGGAAGACACAACTAAGGGAGATGAGGGTGAAGAAGAGACTAAGCCTGAGGAGGAAAGTGAGGAAGAGACCACTAAGGGCGATGAGGCTGAAGAAGAGACGAAGCCTGAGGAGGAAGGTGAGGATGATACCACTAAGGCCGAAAAGGCTGAAGGTGAGGAGGAGGAAACCACCGAGGCTGAGGAAGGGGCCGAGGAGAAGGAAGAGTCCACCAAGCCGGAGGAGGGTGAGGATGAGGAAGCCACTGAAGAGGACGAGAAGGAGGTGAAAGAGAAAGAGGAAGACGCCAGCACTGAACCTGATGCCGAAGCGGAAGAACAAACAACCGCAGGAGAGCACGAGGTTGAGGTGGTGATTGTCAAGGGTGAAGAACGTAAGGTGAAGAAAGTTAAGATCTTCGGGGACGAAGAGAGCGCCCTGAAGAAACTGGCGGAGGCCGAGGGTGCTGATCAAGTGATTGTTCAGCCGAGGACAGTTAGTGGACGTAAGTTGCAGCCGTACTTCGGATTCGGCGGTCCCGGTTTTGGCTTTGGCTTTGGCGGCTACGGCGGCTATGGCGGCTATGGCGGCTTTGGTGGCTATGGTGGTTATGGTGGATTTGGTGGTTACCCATATGGCGGCTATGGTGGTGGCTATGGTGGCCGTTGGGGCGGCTATGGTCGACGTTGGTAGACAGATTTTTATCCTTTTCAATCCGCGTTTTATTATCTTATGTACGAAGCATCAAGCAGAGCGACGACCGCGACAGAAGGTGGCCGTGACGCCACGCCGGTTAGGAAGCAGCCTTGGGTCGACGAGATAGTGGCGAAGGGCAAGTGGATTGATTGGCAGAAGCAGGGTGGTAAGTGTGTATCACACTCTGTGTCTACAAGTGCAACGTGTGTGCAATGTGTGTGCCAAGTGTGTGCAATGTGTGTGCAATATGTGTGCCATGTGTGTGCCAAGTTTGTGCGGATTTTAGACTACCACATTATGCTCGCTTGCGCGTTACCGGTGGTTGTGATTTTGGTGTACCTGTTGAGTGCAGTGCTTCGCTTCGCGGCGGTACTGCTTGCCCCAGTATCGATGTTGTCTCCCTTGTTCGTATTACAGCAATCCAACGAGATTCCGAAGCCAATCCGCGCCGCGGCCATTGTGGTGTATACGGGTACGGTGCTGTTGACCAACATTGGCGGCATGCTCTCAATCGCGGCCTACGTTCTTATTGAAGGGCTACCTCAGCTTCTGAGCACCCCCCTGTTCCTTTTGAGTCAGATACCCTCCCTAGCCTGTGTGTTCACCTGTTTGTCGGCCATCTACATTGTCAAGTCGCTGAATCAACGCGACCAGTAATCCACAGGACTACCTTCTCACCGCGTCCAAGTACGGAGTTCCTCGTTTAAAAAAAAGTGTCTAAGGGAGGTCGCCGAATATGTGTTCCCTTTCATTCATTCCGCCAACGATTGCGTAGTTGCACTGGTCGAGTACAGAGAGGTCTTTGCCTCCGGCGTAGCTAATAGATGACTGTAGGTCTTCAGTGATCTCTTTGAGGAGTGTATCGAGGGTGCCTTTTATAGGTTCGAGTATACGTTTGCCTTCAATGTTTTTCCGTTCGTGCTTGTTATGTTCTGAGGCGGATCCGTAGTAGGCCTTGTAGAGAACATGGTCGACTTCGACAGTTTCACCAGGACCCTCCTCCAAACCAGCGAAGAGCGAGCCGCACATGACCATGCGGGCGCCGAAGCGGAGGGACTTTGCAATGTCTCCATGATGTCGGATGCCACCGTCAGCAATGACGGGTTTTTGGGCAATACTCGCGCACCACTTAACGGCGGAAAGCTGCCAACCACCAGTGCCGAAACCCGTTTTGTTCCGCGTGATGCAGACCTTGCCAGGACCGACGCCGATCTTGGTACAGTCCGCGCCCCAGCTCTCTAGCGCCACCACGGCCTCCGGAGTAGCCACGTTGCCGGCAATGATGAAGGTCCTCTGGCCCATTTTCGCGCGAATATGTTCGATCATCAACTTAACTGTGTCCGAGTAGCCGTGAGCAATATCTATTGTTATAAACTGAGGAACCAAATCCCGGGCCGCCAATTCATCTACCACATCATAGTCGTGCTGCTTCACACCGAGACTTACCGAAGCAATCAAATTCTCCCTCAACATCCGTTCTGCAAACTTCACCGTATCCACATCAAATCGATGCATAATGTAAAAGTATCCCCCACGTGCCAACTTCTCACAGATGTCTTCGTTCACCACCGCCTTCATGTTCGCTGGCACCACCGGTAACTTGAAATGGTGATTACCAAACGTCACTCCTACGTCACACTCGGAACGTGACTTCACCACACACTTCCTTGGCAATAACAGAATGTCGTCGTAATCGAAGATTTGACACTGACCACCCATAATTTTAACACGCGCAAAATTTTATACAAGCCAGAGGAGAGGGGCTGCATAACCTTCTACCACTGCATAACCTTCTACCACTAGCCGTTAATTGAACGATCCAGAAATAACCACTGTGATTATCGCCGATCTATCCCTACCTCTGATCTAGTGTAGTTACCTACCCGTTCGTCTGCAGGTGGTTCTGCTGCGGTGGTTCCTGTCACGGTGCGTCCACTTGGTCCCTGTCACGGTGCGTCCACTTGGTTCCTGTCACGGCGCGTCCACTTACTGGTTCATTAATAGAGATGCGGGTAGGGTTGACCTCTGTTGGAATCATGATGTTGCAGAGGGTGCTGATATTGGGGTTGTTAGAGTACGTGTTAGCTATGGAGTCAACGATTCTGGAGTCGGAATGTTGGAGCCAGGCGACTCAAGCCGTAATATCTTTACATAGTCTTCGCGAGGCCGAAAATGGAGGGTTGACCATCGGCGAGAACCCGGATCGTACACGTCCATGTTATCTATTCGATACACTTCAACGAAAGGCGATGGCTTTGGTGGTTGCCAAATGTCGCTCATCGGATAGAAAGGCCGCTCCGGAGGCGGGTGAGCGGTGCGAGGTGGTTGATGAATTGCTCGACAAAAATGTAGCGGTGCATTATGGTCCGAGTAACGGTTATGTCGGTCCGAGTAACGGTTATGTCGGTCCGAGTAACGGTTATGTCGGTCCGAGTAACGGTCACGGTCCGAGTAACGGTCACGGTCCGAGTAACGAATATGTGGAGGCAGAAAAGCTGGTGGCTAAATGCATTTCGAGCTTGACTCCTTATAACTACCACTTGTATATTGAACACCTGAACCATGTTGAGAACATATGCTTCCATATCCATTCTGTTATATGGCAAGAACGAGCCCATCAATTAATGAATGGATTAACACTTTCTGCTGATACTGTTATTGAAAAACTTCAACAAGGCGCACGATCATATGAACGGATCCTTACGAAACAAGATATAAGTTTGGAACAACAGGAACAACTGATTCGATCAAGCGATACTCTTCATAAAGTCATTGAAGGAGGAAACCATAAGGTCCAACAAGCCTTCGATCAGATGAAAAATCAAGTCGAAAACGAACACGAAAAGATTCAGTCTCTTTTCGGTGACATCTTTGAAGGTGTCAATAAACTCACTGCCTTCCAAAAATACCTAAAACGTAATGACACTGAACCTCAATCACCTTTGTTCACACAGTCAATAGGGAGGAGGGCTACTGCCAATAGGGGAGGAGGGCTACTGCCAATAGGGGAGGAGGGCTACTGCCAATAGGGGAGGAGGGCTACTGCCAATAGGGGAGGAGGGCTACTGCCAATAGGGGAGGAGGGCTACTGCCAATAGGGGAGGAGGGCTACTGCCAATAGGGAAGCCGATAATACATACGTGTTGTAGTCAAGGTGCTGGATATACAGACGGTTGCATTATATGGATTTCTCGTATTCATTACTCAGCATTTGACGTCCACAGCGAGGACCCAGGAGGCTAGAATTCCGGTCTTCTTTACGTGGACGGTATTGGCGTTCAGCGAAATTTTCTTGCTGAAGCAATTTGAGTATGATGAGGAATTGCATGCAGCTGTTGTATTTCTGACTCGGTGTGCTTTTATGTTCTTGGCTTTCTGTTTTTGGATCAAGTCATATGTTTACTATGAGGATCGGAATATTAAGGCCTTGAATGCGGTTGCTGCCAAGGTTAATGTGCTACACCACAAGATGGAGCAAGTATTAAGGACCGTTAACGTTACAGCTGTTAGTCAATATCAACCAATGGAACCTCCAATGGGCGCTCAAATCAAGTCTGAGCAGTATCGGTCCATCTGCTACAGACGAAAATCGGGAATATAGATTAGACCATATTTAGCTAGATTAAACTTCTCTCAAGTTTACACAAATGCCTTGAGAAAGGATCTGGCGTGTTGGTGGGAAGGCGTGTTGGTGGGAAGGCATGTTGGTGGGAAGGCGTGTTGGTGGGAAGGCATGTTGGTGGGAAGGCGTGTTGGTGGGAAGAAGTTTGTCTTTGGGATGCTATGTATTGATAGGGGATTCAGTGTGTTGATAGGTGGGGTGGGATGACCACTAGTGGGGGGTGGGGTGGGATGACCACTAGCGGGGGGATGACCACTAGCTGTTCGGGTTCGAGCTATTCGTGTTCATTTTTTAAAGGAATTGTTTTAAAGCACTTATTATGCGCACAGGGAATGAATCAGGCGGTGAGTATCCCCAATCGATGGGTCAACGAACTACAATGGATGTCATAATAAAGGATACTAAAGACAGAATATCATGCGCCAAGACAGACAGACACGGATTCCTGCAGGTGAGACCGTTGGGACTGGATGTGGTGACGATGGCCGCCGAAATAACAGATCAGAGACCACTCTGTATATGCAGTCTTCAAACAGTCAAGTTCGCAAGTTTACAGACCAGACATTTCGTGGGGACGCATTCTAGTACAGGTGTGACCACTAGCGTCGGGGTGACCACTAGCGCCGGGGTGAACGCTAGTGGGGGGATGACCGCTAGCGGGGGGATGACCGCTAGTGGGGGGATGACTGCTGGCGGGGGGATGACCGCTAGTGGGGGGATGACCGCTAGTGGGGGGATGGCCACTAGTATGGAGAAAGGCTTGGTTCGAAAAGACCCTCGATGTCAGGACCGTCGATGTCAGGACCCTCGATGTCAGGACCCTCGATGTCAGGACCCTCGTTGTCAGGACCCTCGTTGTCAGGACCCTCGTTGTCAGGACCCTCAGGGTCAGGACCCTCAGGGTCAGGACCCTCAGGGTCAGGACCCTCAGGGTCAGGACCCTCAGGGTCAGGACCCTCGATGTAAGGACAGCTCGGTTCCGTCCATTTGTGAGCCATGCAAGAGAGGTTATAGCGGTTTCGAATATTTGTCGACGGTCGATAGCAGAACAGCAGACAGCAGAATAGGAGATGGTCGACTTACGGATATCCGACTTACGGACAGTCAGGCCGGTAGCAGGGACGACCTGACTAACTACCGCACAAATAAAGGACATACTCGGACGGAGACACGTACGGTGGACGCTAAAGGCTGTATGGAAACCAAGGGCTACAGTAAAGAGTATACCACCGGCCGCTTGGTAGGGGGCGATATGTCTTCTGGTTACGTTCCAAGTGGTCCCGTGGCGAGTACTAGCGTGGGCTACGACCGGATACAAACTGTTTACGAAGCGATTAGTCCGGAGATGGCTTCCACAGGTGAGAGTGAAACTCTGCTGCCCTCGCCAGACGACTTCTTGCCTACTCGGTCTCGTGACGTGGTCCTCGCTCGAGAGACGTCCCGGACAATGCTAGCGTCAAGAGGAGGTGTCGACGGTCGGTCTCGCATGAGCGGGAGCACTAGTGCTCGCAGCGCGAGCGTTATGAGCAGCGGACATAGCACTATAAGTAGTGGTCAAAGCGAGTCGAGTCGAGTCTTTAACGACTACGAACTAGATAACGATCGGCCGATCCTTGTGATAACGAGTTACTCTAGCATTAGATCTTGGTTGAAGTGCTGCATCTGCGCAGAACCGTGTGCACACACGTGTGCTGATATTCGCGTATGCACGGGCGACGAAAAGGACCGCTGGCGCGGCGTCTCGGACGCGCGAATATGGTTGGTTACGTACGGGCTTCTAAATGCCCACGTGGACGTGTACACCCACTTACCGTGGGCCGCAGTGGTGCTTGAGAACAGCGACAGTATTCCGGATCCCTGCAGCCGAACCATGCGGAACGTTCTAAAGCTGAGGTGCTGTCAGTGGTTTACCGTGAACAAGAAGCGTCTCGACCCCCTGGATTCTCGGCTGTTAGAGTCTAGGTTTGTGGAGTCGCGACTTTTGGAACTAGGATTGCTCGAGACGGGGCTGGTAGAGTCCGAGGCGCGAGACGAGAGGACCCTACTCGACGCTCGCGGATCGGGTGAGCACTTGGGGATGTCATGGCGAGTGATTCACCGTGAGGCTTTGTTGTTGCACCGAGCAACGAATGCAACAAGTACCGAGACGAGTGCGCCGCACATTTTGCCTGAAGGTTGTTCCTTCTACCGCCTCATGGAGCCGGGTGTGGGTTGTGATGGGGCTGAGGAGATCCATTTAGGTTGCGAGAAGATACTGGACTTGTTTTTTCATTGGCGCGAGACGGCTAGGATGCCGAAAGAGGATTTGCTTTCAGGAATTAAGATAACGATCCCCTTGTTAGTTAATGGGTTATGGGTGGTACGTGCGACACCGTGTCTGCAGGACCAGTACATGTTGCGCATCTTGGCCAAGAACGTGAAGGAAGAGAAGCTGGAAGAATCTATTGCCGATTATTTCAAGGCAACTTATCCCCCGCTTTACTTTGCGTCGCTCAAGTGTGTGATCTGTCATAGCAATAATGCAGATGCTTTCATGCTGTGCTGTGACTCCCTCTACCATCGGGACTGTCTCTTGGCGGAGCTAAATTATGAGATGGAATGCCCCCATTGTGGCAGCCCCATTACTCCCGACCAGCCTCAAAGAGTCTACGGTTCTGACTTAGTTCGGGGCTACAGCGCTACAGAACGCGTCTGTGAAGACCCAGAAGACCTGCACCGCAGGTCCTCGGCCACCGGTGGTCCTTGTCGCTCCGCTGTTGACCTCTGCGAGAAAAACTTTCCCCACAGGTCAGGCAGGACTAAAAGCCATCAGAACTTCAACCGAGAATGTACGGGCCGTCGGTCACAGCCGGACCGGATGCAGACTATTCAGAACGATGAAGATCGAGGCTACAGAGCAAAGCGGAAAGAACGTTTTCTGGATGATGACCGGCTAGGAAGCGAGTACACGACCAGGTGCTATTTCGGCTTGGCCGAGGACCGTTACGATAAAGATCGCTACGACAAAGACAGACGTAGTAACCAATTGGGTAACCAATTGGGTAACCAATTGGGTAACCAATTTGGTAACCAGTTGGTGGGGCGGCGACTGGTAAGTGGTCGTGCAGACAAGATCCGGAGTAAGCTTAGCGAACCGAATGTGTATGTTCTAATTGACCCACAACATGGTGTGTGGTCGCATGATTGGAACTGTCAGTTGACAAGACAGACCATAACGACTGCAGTGCAAAGAGTTCTGTCTCGCGATACCGTCATTTATTCAGCAAGAATTCATGAAGGTGAATCGTTGTCCGATGACCTCATATCGCGAGCCAGACCTCTCGAACCGCTCGAAACCAACGGAGCGACTGGGGGATATAACATCGGTGGGTCGACCGGGACATACGGAGGCGGTGCGTACAACATGAGTGGAACGTACAGACATGATGGCGATAACACACGCATCTATTTGTGGTTTATTACTCAAGACACACCAATCCAGCTTACGACCGATTCCAACACCAAACATGTCATCGTCATTCTCGCAGCGGATAGCGATACCTTTGACTACCAACCTGCATTGCCGGCCATCGAACTCATGTACCATTGCCACTTCTAATAGTTCTGTTGGAAACTGACGACGAAGGGCATAAAGAATTACCAGCATAGCCAAACGGACTGTCGCACGATCAAGATATGATCAAGAAATAATAACACGATCAAGGGAACCTAACCAGGGAACAACATTCCATTAACCGACCAAGAGTCTGTTGGGATTTTATAGTTAGTTTAGTTCTTCCAAAAAAAAACATTCAGGTGGTCGTACCGCGCTTATTGGAGGACGGAGATGTGAGAGTCTTGATAATCTCGTCCTTAGAAAGATCTCGAACACACATCAGTAGATACGATGCGCCTGAAATACGCAAGTATATGGTTCAGCACACACGTGTGTGTGTTAGGCAACAGGTGTGTGTTAGGCGACAGGTGTGTGTTAGGCAACAGGTGTGTGTAGCAGAGAGTTTGTGTGTACGCATACAGTGTTGTTCGAGGTCCTTGTCGCCGAATCGTTTGGCGACTTCTTGAATTGCTATAGCGTTGGGTTTAGTAATGACGAGTGTGGATAGTTTTCTGAAGGTGGCTTTGTAGAGGGATGGTATGTTGAGGTCTTTGGCTGCGGTAAAGAGATCAATAACATCAATGAGATCGGTACCAGGTTCTAGGAATTTGCATTCATCAGTGTGCGTATACTGAATGATATTTTCAACAATATCTGGTCGCATGTTTTCGATGACGATAACATTCTGGCACGATTCTTGAGTATTATTTTTCTCGGGTGCGAAATTGGTTTCTTTTTCGGGCGACTTGGATAGGTCCATGGCTCCGAAACTGGTATAGCTGAAGTCTTGAGCGGGTGTGGTAGGTGCTACGGTGCTTTTCTGGGAGGCGGTTGCTGCAACAACGGGTCCAGCAGCTCCTAGTTTGGTGGCGAACCATTTGCTGCGTGCTTTGAGAATTTCTTTATGCGCACGTAGTTCCCTCCCTTGGGCTAGAAGAGTAACGTTGTAGTGTCGGGGATCGCAGAGCATCGCCTTCATCTCGGCCTCCCAGCTTTCTCCCGGCGGCACGCTCCTTGGCGGTGAAGATAACACGCCAGTGAAAACCTCGATCTCGCACTTTACCACCAGCGAATCAGCCGAAGACAATAACTTGTCCAATGATTGTCCCTCAACCTTCACAAACTGGGACCAACCCCATGAAGAAGAACCATCTGCAAATTTCTGCCGCGTAAATGAACGCCCACTATTCGCTATCTTGTTCCCATCCTCATCCAACAAATAGCAACCAAACACTGCATATGCCTTAGACAATGAACTCTGGTCCAATGACAAGAACAACGATACATGACCCCGACCAGCCGGCGACAAATCACCGTAAGGATACAACTTCAACTGCCACAAACCTTTCTCATTGTCTCCAAACGATTGAGACCATAGTAAAGATCCGTTCTCGTCCTCCAAAGCCTCCACACAAGCCAACGCCCTCAACTCCCAAAAATTCTCCAACTGCCACACGTACTCCAAATGAGCCCACTTGGGCCGTATCTACAAACACTTACCATACCCATAAAGTCCTAGTCACCTCCTCTAAAAGAGCGCTCCCACAGGAAACCACGGGATGAGCGGTCAAGGTGTGTGGCAGACAGATCTCGTACCAATTCGGAAGGGCTGGTTTTCTTCGTGGGCATAGGCAAATTTTACACTCCCAAAAGTTGACTCATGGACCTCCATGCTTTGGAGAGGTAATTACCGAGCCTTAGACGACGCCTGCGACGAAGTGGAGAGTATACGAGAGCCAAGCGCCGTCTTCGGCTGCTTATGTTTCTTGCCCTGCATACCTCTGATCTACTTGCTACCGAAAAGAAGCATCATATGTGCAAGGAACTTATTCCAATCAGCAAACACAACCGTTCAACCTGGCAACAGCAGTCAACAGGTATGTATAGCCCCGGACCACCGGCACCCCATCGGACCACCCCACCACCA